ACACACACACACACACACACACACATCTTAATCCCCTTCATTGCCACAGATCAGGGGATCATTTGAAAACATCATTGGATGATAAGGACATTTTCTATTTTCTCTGCCTAACAAGCATTATTTCCCTAGTCCATTAAACAGGCACCATGGCAATGAATCCGGAAGCTCCGCTGCAAATGAACAATATACCAGCACCACCATACCCAGGCCTCCCTGCAGACTATAACATAGGAGAATATAAGGGAGCCCCTCCTCATCCTGCTGCCTATCCTGGTGAGTTTGGTCATTTGACTTTTATTTCTCTTTTATTGTAATGTTGTTCTTATTTCAAATTTTACCTGCCATCTTAACCCATGGTGCAGGAGCGTGCGTTTAATGTTTCTATGAAGTTAACAAGTTAACTTAGGTCCAGGAGCTGGGCCCCGTCTCCACAACACCTCTCATCAACTGTCAGTCCGACATATACCTGGTCACTCGTTGCTTATCTATGATTCTTCAATACAACCTTTTCTTTCAGTAGAAAAAGAGAAGAGAAAAAGACGGTCAACCCACATCCATTGATCCACCTTTCCTCATCCCTTCATCCTCCTTCCCTCATTCCTATCCTCATCCTCTCTCCCTCATCCCAAATCTCATCCCTACATCCTTCATCCCTCATCCCCACACTCATTCCTTCATCCCTACCCCATCCCTTCATCCCTACCCTCATCCGTTCATCTGTTCTTCCCTCATCTCTACCCTCATTTCTTCATCCTCTCCTGTCTGTGCATCCTCCCAGAACAGCCTATGAGATGTATCTTCACCTTAATGTCTCTTAATTTTCCCTCAGTGTCAATATATACATTTTGATTCTAATCTTTAATCCAGGTATTGTTGGGTCATTGCCTTTGTTAGTGACTGTTTTTAAGCCTTTCTCAAGTGAAAAGTCTGATTATGTCTTCTCATTACAGTTCAACAACCTGTTTACAATTATGCTCCACAACAGCCTCACATCGTGCAGCCTGGTGGGTGTCTCTCTCCTAAGTTAACATATGCTGAACTAAAAGTGTAGAACTGTCTGGCACTCTGACAGGTTCATGTTCAGTGATGCATCTTGGGGAATATGTGGATTGTGATTGTCAGTAATAGTAGATTTGTTTCTACTTACAGTGAATCAGGTGGTGGTGGTGCAGCAGCTGCCGACTGAGGCTCCAGGACAGATGATGTGTCCTCGCTGCCAAGTCACTGTTCTCAGTAACACCGAGTACAAAAATGGTATGCTCACGTGGCTGATCTGTGGCATACTGGGAATTTTCCTGTGAGTAGAGACCCCAACACACACACACACACACACACACACACACACACACACACTAGTAGTAATCAAGCATTATTTTAAATTTCCTCCCCTCCAGTTGCTGGCCTTGCTGTTTCATCCCTTTCTGTGTGGATGCCTGTAAGGATGTGGAGCATACCTGTCCAGTGTGTAACACCGTCCTGTATGTCTATAAACGCAGATGAAACAGCAGTGTCGTCTTTACTCTAAAATAACAAAACATAAAAAGGTATAAAAACAAGCTATCACCCAACAGACATCTGAAAAGATGCCAAACCTGTCTGTCACTGAACTCCCTTTTATTTGTGTTACATTACCCTAACTCTAAATATTACACAAGCTTCAGGCTACAGTTTCTTCTTATGATTTAAATGTGTGATCATTTTTATGAAATGTAATGTGAAAATGTCAAAAATATTTTTATCATAATTATATTATTTATCTTGACCTGACTGATGTGCCTATATAATACACATCAGTGACAAATGAAGGGATTTCTTTTTATTAAATCCAGTGGATATTTCTTGGCATGTGCAAGTAAAGTCCTATTATTCACTTTTCTCTCAAGATATTAAATTGATTTCATCTTAACAGCATATTGAATGTTTTAATTTATTTCACTTACTGCTATAAAAATATTTTCCTAAAGAGAGTCATAGTTTGTGGCACAGTACTAAGATAATATATATTGACGGTATAAAATAACTGGGATTATAATCATTTTAATCAAGGTGCAATAATAATAAGAACAACTCATTGCTTATACCATGTAATTATTAAAATGAATAAATGACCAATAAATCTTCAATGAAATGTAACTTCATTCTTTGTCTCGACTTTATTACTGAGAGGTACCATTTATTAAGTCATTTAACGTTTTTAAAATGTGTGTATAAAGATCGATGACGCATCCCCTCTTCCTCCCACTACAGAGAAATGAAGCCATCTTGCACTGATGACGTTGTTTGGAACCAGAGTCTGAGCTCTAGTGATTGGTGGATGAAGTCCCACCTATACACATACTGGACCAATCCAGAGTCAGTCTCAGCTCTCAATAACGATATTTCAACCCGTTTTAAAAGTATATGACATAAAAATAATAATGCTAAACTTACCAGAAAAATTGACTCTTGGGACGTCCATGATTGTGATAAGAACACCTAAAATGACACGAACCATCTTCATCAAAAATGTTCTCTAAGTGTACTTTTATTACCTATACCACAGCCAGATGCTAGGAGGCAGTATAGATGCTTTCACTTCACCCTTGGGGAGCTGTCATGGCATCCATCTTTGTCGTCTGTGGCTTCAACACTAGAATGAATCTTGCAGTGCCATCTAGAGGGGTATGTGAAAAGAATGCTTCCATCATCTTTTTACGATATTGTTTTTTTGCCTATAAATTTCAAGCTATACAGCTTTATGACAATGTATTACAAGAATCCTGATAACATAAATGTGGGAATATCTTTTATGCAGAAATTATTCAAGTTTACTTTTAAAGTTATGTTGGTTGGAGTGCTGATAACAAACATATATACTGGCATTGAAGGTTGTGAAGTTATATGAGGAAAGAATAAGAGGAACATGTAGGGAAGAGGCCAAATCATTAGGAATAAATGGAGACGTTATGGCAGCAAAAGGCTTGTCCACAGCAGATATTTTGAAATGTCACGGTAGGAAGATACATGTATTTAATATCATTAATGATAACAGCATTTCGTTGAGTGTCCATTTCAGAGTGCTGCTGTTGAGAACTGATCGGCTTGTACATAAATGACCTGCCTTTAGTGGGTCCATCAGTTAATATACAAATATATGCCGATGACACTGTTCATTATTTACATGCAAAAAACAAGAGGCATGCCGCAAAAAGTGACTGAAGCTATGGTCCATGGATCTAATTGGTTAAATAATTCATGTTTACATCTAAATGAAAGCAAAATAGTCTGTATGTTTACACAGACTCGCTAACCTTTGTTTGTGGTGTCTGATTTTAAATTCTTGCTATAATTAGTGGCCAGTACTATGACAGTAAACCACACTAACGTCAGACATATAAGACCATACCTAACAACAGAGGCAGCCAAGCTTTTCACACAATCTATGATTGATGACTCTTAAGCCCACATGATCTGAGTGACATTCTGAACTGTATTTCTCTTCAGAGGAGCCCGCGTCACCCTCTTGTTTAATATGACTCTTTCATGATGGATATTTTGATTTTCTGCAGACCACTATTATCATCAGGCTGTGACATGAGCCTTGATATTTACTGTGTAATACACTGTTTTTACCCACCAGCAAATTGACACATGTATTTCAGTACATCCACACAAGTGCAGTGTAGGTTTTCTTCTATACAGGCCAAGCTTTTATTCATAATGCACTTAAAATATTCAGAATAAGCTTTATTATAGTTTCTTGTAGCAGTTTCTTTTATTTTTACCTGTTGGTGGCAATGTTGTCTTTTTTTCACTTCTTGTCACACCTATCCTTCAGGGTATCTCTGCAAGCAGGCCTCACCTGTTGTGGGTGTCCAACATTCAAAAACAGATCATTTACTGCAACTTTTTTTTCAAAGTGTTGCTCCTCCTCCTTTCTTCCTAAAATAAAATTCTTCTCTCTCACACATCGCAGACGGAACCAGTGACAGGCTCTCACACACCCTCCGGTCCTCCTTACCAAGGTAAGCTGCAAGAGATCTGTGAAAATGATCAGTCATCCAGGTCAGGGCATCTTCAGGAGTTGTAAATGTGCAGATAAACAACTGGACTTGCTTGTGTTCCTTGAAACACAACCAGGTCCAGTAGTCTGTGCACATGTACAACTCCTGAAATAAGCAGCAATACATCAAAAGCAATAGATGGAAAAAACAATACATGCCAGCAGAGCCTGACATCTTCCTGCTCCCCTGATTTTGTCCATTCATTTGCTTCTGTTGTTCAAAATCAGATATATTTGTGTCGATATTTGTTGAGGTTTTAAGCATATTTTCATATATAGACTGCCAAAGACATAAGTTCACAATAACCTTCTGTGCTGAATGCAAACTAGACTTGAGCATGCACATGTGTGTTTTGTGCTTTTTGGTGCGAGGAGACAACTACTATAAACCTGTATGTGTGTTTGGTGTGTATGTGTGCACCAGTTGATTTGGTTTGTCAGACAGATGTTAAGGGTCAATTTGCTAGATCTGCATTTTTATTTGAATCCACTCCAAATCACACACACTCATAAATATCAGTGCACTGAGCATGCCTGAGTTCTTAATCAAAGTCCATGAGGTATTCTCTAAGAAATCTGTGGAAATATACAAATACTTTATGTAGCAAATTTAAGGATAGTGATAAAGATTTCCTGAAGTTTTGTGGAAATTCATCCCGTATTTTGTGCGTAATCCTTCTGACAGACAAACAAAATCACCCCAAGCCCATGGACACGATTACAACACTACAGAAAAAAAACACATTTGTCACATTGGATTTAGTTTGTTAACTCCGCCAAGGAGGTAAAGCTTCTCCCCTGTTGTTTATTTGTCAGCAAGATTATGCAAACATTCTTGAAAGTATGTTCATGAAACTGAAGGATCGATTATGGGCCAAGAAAAAACCTGTTCAATTTTGGTGTAAATCTGGACAAAGGGGTGGATCCAGGAAGTTATTTTTACTTTCTTTAACTGCATTTCTTTTTGTACATTTCCAATAGTTTCTGAGAGAATGATGCAAGGATCTTGATGAAAAAATGCTCATATTTAGGGGACTGAAATCTATGAGTGTGTGCAATTTGGTGTGGGCCCAATAAAAACTTGCATATAGCAGATTGTTTTCATAGGGAGACTGTTGGAAGTTGGCAGAGGTATGTTTTCTGTGTTCCATTTTAGTGTTTGGTTTATCTTTTTTAAACATTCCTGTTTTATAACATGTATGTTATTGGGGAAAATATTGGCTGTACAGAATCAGATATTATTGGAGGTTTTGATTTTACATGTCAAACGTTGCATGCTGTCTTTTACTTATTGCATATTGACCTCCATTGGCCTTTCTCACTATTTTGCTGCAGTTAAATCACGATGATTACAACATAAAAAATGTCTGCATTACATTTTGGGGAACTATTTTCAGGCCCCCTGTTATTGTCCCAGCGGATGTAACTGAGCTATAATTATAATAATATATAATTTGTTGAAAAAGGTCTGTTGTGTTTATAAGTCAAATAAATTAAATGTTTCTGTTATCTAAATTCAATAAGCCAACACTCCTCTGCATATAATCCCGGATTCTGATTGATATACAGATACATAGCAAAACTTGTTTGTGGATTCTTTGGACATCCTCGGGTGCAAAATATTCCTTTTCTATTTGCATTGTGAACAGTGGGATTTATAAAATAATTAACCTACAGAGAAGATGACCTACTTAAAGCTCGACAGCAACTCTATTGTAGAATGAGAAACTAGAAAAGCTATGGAGGGTAACATCTAAAAGCACAACCAAAACCTGTTCCTTTAAAGTGTAAAATATTTAATGTCACCAAACCTGCTTGCTTGCACAGAGTCAGTGTGGTAGCATTTGTTCATTGGATGCCACCCGGCGATATCATTTTGCAGGTTTTCACTCTGGCAAGAGAAGAAATGGCCCTAAAAGAGTGATGCCTCAAGCTTTAGATCTGGACCCACATCCCCACATCTTAAACACTAAGCCTCACTTTCCTTCGTTGGGAGAGAACAGTGGAACATTTGAAGACATTTTGAATTCAAGTTATTACCTTATTGCCTCTGTCTGAAGTTAAATTTCTTTTATGGTATGTCTGTTAACAATATTGCATGAAAACTTCTAAATGGATTGCCATGAAACTAAGTGGCAGGATGCAGTATGGGTAAGGGAGGAACCCATCAAACTTTGGTGCGTATCCATATCGGGGGGCGGATCCAGGAATCACTTTCTTTGACATTGTGAGATCTGTTACCAGTTTCCCAGCTAATTATTCATGGATCCTGCTGAAAATATGTGGTTTACTCTTGTTGCTTAGTGTGTTTGTAAGCAACTTCACACAAAAACTACTGAGCCTTGGAGGAAGGATGTGATATGGGTCTGGGAGGAACCCATTGAAATTTGGGGCGGTCCCAAATTAGGGGGCACATCAAGGAAATTGTTTTCACCTTTTTAACATTCCGACATTGAAATAAAGGCACATTTAGAGAACTGATATCTCTGATTGTGTGAAATTTGGTGCAGCCTGGCTGAATTTATAGGGACTGTTGGGCATTGGTATGTGCTCTACTGAGCCTTATAAGCTTTTTTCCCTAGTCTGTTTAACAGGCATCATGAATGTGAACAATGGACCTACCTATACAGTGACTAATGTGCCTGCAACGTCACTTGCAGTCTATGACATTGCAGCCTCGTCAGCCCCTCCTCAGCCTATCGTCTATCCTGGTAAGACACCACAAACTTTAATCTTTACCATTTCTCTGTTGTTTCTATTTTATTATAATGCCATTTTAATCTTTTGATTTATTGTTGCCATCTTAATTCATGTGGTAAGAGCTTGTGTTTATTTTGTTTTTAAGCCTTTCTCAAGCTAAATGTCTTCTTCTCATATCCAGTTCACCAACCTGGTTACCAGTACGCCCAACAACAACCTCAGAATGTACAGCCTGGTGAGTGTCT